AGACATGGGGAACAAAGCTGCACACACTAACATAAGACAAAGACTTTCACAATAAAACAGGAAACATGAATCACAACTCAGAGACATGGACTCAACACAGAGACAGAAAATGAAACATGGAACTGAACTATACATGAAACCACCATTCCTAAAACATGGATAATAGAAACATGAAACTAATAATAATAATAATAATAACAATAATAACAACAAGAAGAGAATGAGAAACAATCCAAAACACCAAGATAACTGAAACACAAGGTACCAGAGAAACAAAGAATAATCCATGATGCAAAAGTGAACCAAAACATAAAAAACTCAAAATACTGGGTCCAACGGACCCAGAACCGTGACAAGAAGTCACTTGGATGAGCGACAAAACGTTTCTCCCACAAAACGCTACGTCCAGATGAACAGAATCAACTTTTTGGAGGTTTTCAAAGGCTATTTTATCACCATTGTGGGCTGTTACAAATCGAGACCACAAATAGTTTTTAAATAAGATTTGAAGCATTTCTGTGAGCAAGCTTTCTTTCGTGTTTTATGGGACTATAACTGGAATAAAATCCACCTGATCACTGATGTTGAGCTCAGATGGAATTATTTGTATGGCAGTTTTAGCAAAATTATAAATAAACATGCCCCCATGCGCAAATTTAGAGTAAAGTGCAGAAACAACCCTTGGTTTTCTCCTCAGCTATCCAGTCTCCTCAAAAAAGGGATGCTGCCTGGGCTCAGGCCAGAAAAACTCAGTCTGAAGCAGATTGTCTGATTTTTAGACAGCTCAGACTTCGTTCAACCTCCATAATTAAAAAGGCCAAATCAGAATTCTGTCTTTAAAAAACAACTAAACATCTGAATGACCCTAAAAAATTCTGGATATAATAAAAAAATGAAAAATAAGAAAATAAGAAAATCTTCTCATGGGGACATAACTACCAATGAGATGCCAGTGTGCACGTTAACAGAAAAATGTGACATCTTAAACTGCTTTAATGGGCATTTTCTTTCATCGGGGTCTTTATTTGAATCTTCCTATCCAGATTTAAAACAGCTTAATCAACAGAAGTCTCTCTGCAACCACTCAAAATCAGTGTGATTGTTTCTAATATACTTCATAATGATCAGTTATTGCATTTTTTTAACGTTTGTATGGGATATTGTATTTATTTTAATTGTTATGTACTTATGTTGTCACGGCGAGTGAGGTGAGCCGTGTGGAGGAAAATGAAGGAGGATCCAAGTGCAGGCAGTCGTGAAGGTGTAAAGGTGGTTTATTGAACATGAAAGTAAATACAAACGGCAAATGGAGCTGGAACTAAACTACGGACCAGGCGTGGATGAAGACACGGAGGCCGGACCAGGCGTGGATGAAGACACGGAGGCCGGACCAGGCTGAAGAAGCG